TCACCAGACGTCCACCACTGGCCAAAGACTTTATCGGGGTGGTGGGTTCATCGCCCAGGAGCGAGGAGAGCTGCGACTTTGTCGAGGGCGCATTGAGCACCTCCTCTAGCAGGGACGAAGAGGAATTACCCCGTGAGACTGGTGATACTTTACCACAGCTGTTGGATGTCTCTCTAGATGTGGCTGGAGAGGCAGCAGGAGGCGAATTGCGACTACCCCCTGAGTTGTGTTCGGTGGTTGGTTCTGCTGGCAGTACAGACAGCAGAGATGGAGACTTGGCTGGGAAATCGTTATTCACTAAAAAATAAAGGCGAAAGTAAAGGCGCTTTTGTAAGTTGTAAGTGCACAGAAACAAAAAAAACTAGACAAAGGCAAGAAGCAGGGCTTTAATAGAACTGGAGAGTTCACTATCAATCATTCGTGGTCAGAAGTAGTCAGTGGGCAGATAAGAAAGTTATTATTATTATTATTTCAGTCTGCGTCTCCGATGATAAAAATTATTCCTGCTATGTGGCCACCCGCGGGTGTTCTAGACCGGAACTCCATGTTACATAAAGAATCCGCCGTATTACGTCTTGCGATCACGGCAGATCGGTGACCGCCACTGCCGCGTGAAAATAATAAATTCCTGATCACTGTCAACGAAACGTGCGCAGGATGCTCAGCTAGAAGAGTAGACAAGGGATCTGGCAGGGATTCAAACGACAGGTCCTGACCTCCCCTGTGTTAGTGAAAACTCTTGACAGAGTTTGCGACTGCCAGGAGCTCAGAAAGACGCCAGGCCAGATGATTGCTATGTTGACATCATCTAGACCACTGTTTTAGTAGGCCTCTGCCTCAGAGTAAAGGCAACATAACGGCTGAGAACGCAACCATGCTACGTAGTACCAGAGTTAGGCAGACTGAAATCAAGAGAATCATAACTTGGAAGCTTACTCAGTTTGTTGATAGTTTGGCCGTCGATTTCGATTATGTCCACCATATGCTGTGTACAGGGTGGTGCAGGGACGGTGGTTTGCGTGTGAATATACCTTACGTGATAGCAGACTTTCGCAGCATCTATTTCACTCCCTCTTCCCTCATTCACCTGTCAAAAATAGTCAAAAGATCGGAGCGGGATCGGCCGCAGTGGCTGGCAGGGCCGGCAAACCAGTCTGCGCGCGTCACAGCATGGCACGGCCCTCTTGACAGACATAACAGGATTTACACAACCAGCGGATTACAGTGAGCCGTCGCCGTCTGACTCCCAATCCACCCAGTAGCCACTTAACACACACTGGGTTGATGGTGTGTCTGGTAAATGCGTCAGCTGGCTGTCTTCTCAGCCATAGGAGACCGTCATAGTCTCAGACTCACAACACGCATGTAGCATGGAAGCTGCATAGGGGAGGAACTGAGGGGCATCCTTACCTACTGAGGTCATATGCTTACCTATATGAATGATTCAAGTGAACTGTGACAATTAAAGTTTAACGACAGCTCCTCAAACATGATGCGAAATAGGTGGTGGGGACACTGTCACTTCACTGATTCCGTGGATCTTCGCAGTCAAATGGTTGAAAATGAGGACTACCAATTTTCCAGGAAGTTACAGGTCTGAAGATAAAAGGCCCCAGAAACCTCCGCCGAAACTGACCTAAGCAGATAATCCGCTAGTGTGTACTGCGAGCACTA